GAAGAAGAAGAAGAAGAAGAAGAAGAAGAAGAAGAAGAAGAAGAAAGTTCAAATGTGTCGCAGGCTGCACCAACAACATCAACTACTCTGAGTTAAAGAATTCGGCTGAGCCCACCTTTTGACACGTCTCTAAGAACTCTTCGATGGTGACCACGCCGTCCTGATTCTTGTCCATTTTCTGCAAGACAAAATGTGAAATATTTGCCCATCCGAGGATGCATTCACTGGGTCTTAGTTCCAAGAAAAGCATGCCATCCCCACTGGACCCCCATTCAGATGTATCTCCCCTCACCCATGAGGCCTGGTTAGACTTCCTACAGCAGGGTTTCTCAACCTTGGCCACTTTAAGATACGTGGACTTCAAATCCCAGAATTCCCTAGCCAGCTATGAGGAATTCTGGGAGTTGAAGTCCACATTAAAGCGGCCAAGGTTGGCAAACACCATCAAATTGTTTTTGGCTGTTCCATTCCTGTACTTGAGGGACAGTTTTCCACCCACTAAGAAAACCACAGTGAGATGGGCGGTAAATAAATTTCAGAATAAAATCAATTAACTAGGCTATTTGTGTCGATTCCAGTTCCCACAATCCTCTGCGGGGGCTGGGGCTGGTAATTCTGGGAAATGGAAGGGTGGGGGTTGAGGAAAGCAACTCCACGGAGCCACTAGTCATGACGTGGGTTCAGGCGGGAAGGAGGTAGAGCTGGTTTTGCCCTTGTCAGTGCCAAAATGATGTACTCAACAAAGTTTCGCATTCAGAGGCTGGAAGGCCTTGAGCACACTTGCTGTGGTTGGATCCATCAATCCGAATGTTGACAACTTGCTGACGATGGGCGGAATCCTCCTTTTCTTTCATTTTACCTGGAAGAACTTTTCCACGTGCTCGAAGGGAGCGTCTTCCCGCACGATCGGGTAGGTGTAGCGGCCCATCATGTCATAGATGGACTTCATGATGGCCAGCATCTCCTGCCAAAGGAGAAGAAAGCTTTGACTGAGCAGCACATCAATGTAACAGAATAATAGAGTTGGAAGGGACTGTTGTGGCCCCCTGGCAGAGTCGGACAGTGGGAAGGAACATGGGCCAGTCCAGGAGTCTGGGGAGGACTCGGACGAGGGTCCTGCATCCGATACAGAGATGGGGGGGGCCAGGGCCACCTGGGAGTTATGTGCTGATTCTGGAGCCTCCAGAATCTGACTGCAGTGAGGCAGAGGAACAGCGGGAGCCTGTTCCCAGTGCGCACATGCACAGAGCTGTCAGAAGGGAAGAATATTAAGACAAAAGGGGCGGCTCAGGAGTAAGGCTTGGAGGTGATTGCCGCTCTCATAAGATATAAAGGAAGTGCAAAGGGACAGGAACCTTTGCAGGAAGCAACATTGCCATGCCCACCAAGAACTGGTAGTAAAAAAAATTGAATCCCGCCACTGGATTTAGTGTCTACCTCCTTGGTGATGTAGCCATCCTTGTTGATGTCATAGAGGTTAAAAGCCCAGCTGAGTTTCTCATGCACTGTGCCCCGCAGCAAAATGGAGAGGCCGATGACAAAGTCCTGTTCAAGACGAGAGAGAGAGAGAGAGAGAGAGAGAGAGAGAGGGAGAGGGAGAGAGGGAGAGAGAGGGAGATCAGTCTCGGCTTGTGAGCCTGGCAAGAGGGGACACTTGGTGCCAGGCCTGCTGCCAATGCTTCCACCTCAAAGTGGAAATGATTCTTGGCTCCGTTTGTTGAGAAAAGTACAATTATATTAGGAGCCAAGTGCATCGCAGTAATGCAGAGAGGGGGCTGAGAATCGCGGGACAAATTTAACTCCCCACCCCTCACCTTCTAGCTGTCTCCCATCATTGTCACCCCCAACACCCCCCATGTCCAAACAGGTTCAAGCCAGGAGTTTTCAGAACGATCCCTTCAAGCATAGGTTGGGATCCCAAAAGTGCTTTTTTTTTTTCCCCACCCAAGAGGCAACTGGACTTTCTGGTTTTTCTTTGAAGACATTTCACTTCTCCTCCAAAGAGCTTCTTCAGCTCTGACTGGCTGGTGGGGAACGGAAGGATTTATACCAGGGGTGGGATTCAAATAATTTAACAACCGATTCTCTGTCCTAATAATTTCTTCCAACAAGCAGTTCACCAAAATGCTCAGAAACTTAAACAACCGGTTCTCCCAAACTGGTGCAAACCGGCTGAATCCCATCCCTGGTTTATACTCCCTGCAGACAGCTGGTCATCCTTGCATCCTTTTTGAGAGTCGTTGAGACCACCTGGGGTTTATCTGTGTCTCCAGGGTCACCTGAGTGGTGCAAATGGGTGTGAAGCCTTCTTGGAACTGTTGAAAGGACTGTGTAGACTGGAGATAGAGATGATGTCGTATCCCCCCCTCTCTGTTGAGCGAGGGCTGTTCAATTTGGACAAAGATGGGCTCTTGGACCCCTCTTTCAAATCAGCGGTCCTCTCTGTCCAAAATGTGGACTTTGCTGTCTTCAGTCCCTCCCTAGAATCTAATAAAGGGCAATATTTGTAGCTCAGGGTTGAAACGAGAACTCCTTGGTGCTTTCTAATCTTGGTGGTCTTCTTGCAGATGTTTGAGTGATCAGGGTAACATCCAGTCTAGCACTAATGATGTTACCTAGTTTGGGGAATGAAAAGCCTGCAAGAAAACAAGCTCAGAGAACATCAAGGACCCCTCTCTAGAATCTCCCAGAGGTATATTTGTTCAGGGTAGTGTAGTACAGTTGTAGTCTGGCAAGAGTCTGTCTATTTGCAAGTAAGCAAATGAAGAACTGGATTATTCTGTGTTGTTCTTGGGCTGGTCCTGACAGTCTTCTACAGAAAAAAAAGAGATAATGATTCCCTAAATCATGCTCCACTCCACTCCTTACTGAGGACATGGACATACCCCCATAATTTTATTGGAAGCAATACAGAAATGATCTGCCATACTTTTCTTTAAAAGAAGGCCCACTTTTTTGACTCTTCGGTGTGTTTACTTGTTTTTATTAAACAGATTTATACGGCCGTCCAACTCACAGTAACTTTAGGCAGCCTCTAGCATTGAAAGTTTAGATAACAACCTTAAAGGTGTTCCTCGTGGCCTCCCTTCCACGGACTGGCCTTATTAAAAATGCCCCATTCATCCCGGGAGTGCAATTTCTACTACTCCCCATCTGTTTTTCAAGGTACATATTTTAAACCCATGTTAACACGTGGACTTCAAATCCCAGAACTCCCCAGCCAGCAAACTGGGAAATTCTGGGAACTGAAGTCCACAGCCATCTTAAAGTTGTGGAGATTGAGAAACCGTTGAGATATTAAAAGGGCCCGCGATGCCTCACAGATCGCTTCCTTTCATATTAATGCGATTTCTTTGCTTCTAATTTTGGATTCAGAATTTTGTGTTCCTGTTTCTCAGGTCCAGATTTGGTTGGACGCGCCTCTGTCCCAAAGGCTGCAGCGAACCAGTGCACAATTATTACCTGTTTTTTTTTTTCCAACTGACACAATTGCTTTATTTATCAAGTTACCTCACGGCTTCAGGACAACGAGGAGGATTTAAAAGGACGAACTTGTACATCTCTATCTCCATTTGAAATTGCTGCCTTTTGCAATCTTTTCCACCAGGTTAAAAATGCATTTACATTTTTCTTACATTTTTCATCAAATTAAAGCAATTTGCATACACTGCAAAGACATTGCAATTAGAACCACTATATACGGAGGCTTCGGTGGAGGGGCGCATGTCAAAAAATAAAGATGGCTGGTGCCACCATGTGACCCAAGTTTTGCCCTCAAGCAAATGAGGAGAGGAGCTCCGATCTTGTCCGCCATCTTAACTTCCTTCCTTCCCTCCAGCCCCATGGAAGAGCCTGACAATGTACGCCACATCAGCGCATAGTTCTAAACACACTGGGCCATTGGCATCGTTTCCATGGATGTAGTGGAATGTAACCTGGATTCCCCAGGAGGGAGGGGCTGCGTTCCAGAGGAATAAGAGACGTTTAGACAGTTTAATTGGGAGGAAAAGGTTCCTCCGTAGAAATTCTCAGAGTATATCTTTAACAACGTAGGAGTGGTACAGTGGCCTAGAGGAGCTCTCGCCTCACAATCAGGAGGCTGTGAGTTCAATCCTAAGTAGCAGCTAATATTTCTCTCTCCGGGCACACTGAGAATTTATCTGCTGAACAAAACTCTGCATTGGTGACAGGAAAGGCATCCGGGCATTAAAACACTCTGCTAGCTCTGTTGCCCAGACTCCACCCCGCAAGGGATTATGGGAGGAGGAGGAGGAGGAGGAGGAGGAGGAGGAGGAGAAGAAGAAGAAGAAGAAGAAGAAGAAGAAGAAGAAGAAGAAGAAGATTAAGATTGTTATATCTTTAACAATGCAAGTAGGTTTGCTTTAGTTTGGCAAGATTTCTGCCTAACAATAAAAGAAACTGCTTTGAGGGACCTCAGGGACTTCACCCTTCTGAGTCTACAGCTTTCCTCTGTAAATCAATTAAAACGGAAACCAACTTTGAAAAGCTGTTTGAAGAAAACCCAACTCGGATGTTCAACAGGAGCTGGAACACAAATGTTCTAAGCTGGGGTAAAATTGTCCCGTTTCAAGGGCAGTGCAGACGATAACCAGGCTCAGCCCAAAGGAGGAGTCAAGCATGTTACCAGTCTTGCATCCTTCACATCCAGCCCACCTTCCTCTGACCGTTGGTAGTTCAGATTCTTGTAGAAAGTGTCGGCATGCAATAAACCGGCACTGATCTTGAACTGCGCCGGCTCCTGATTTCTTAC